TCGATGTGAATCTCGGAGGAGGTTGAGCGGAACCTGCTGCTGACGCACATACGTACATACACGCGTACATACTGTACATACATTTGTACATGGATACGAATGTGACCATTTTAGGGCGGGGTGCAGGGCGGGGTGCAGGCACGCGTGTCCGTCTGCAATGACGTGTGTGTGTATGTGTATGTCTGTATGTATGTGTGTCTTCTTCGGTATGCTGTCTCTCTGTGCGCCAACCTGACCTTCGTGTTAGGTGTCGTCGTACGACACATGTCTCCGTGACGACGCACCAAGGAACTACACCTGCACCACATACATACATACCTAAGTACATACGTACATACGTATATACATACATACATGTACACAGATGGGGGTCTGGAGTGGGTGCGAGATGGAGGTGGAGGTGGACTGCTGACCTGGCAGTACCAAAGGTAAGGTAAGGAGGACGAACAACCACCAGGCAAGTGGAGAGCCATTTCCTTCCAAGGCAGACCTCATTCATAATTCCTGTTGGGGTTGGGACTGCCGTACGATGTCGTACTCTCCTAGTCTGAAGCAAGGTCAGGTGGTTGCGTCTGCGGTACCGGAAGGGCCCTTCGGGTCGCCGCCTTTCATAAATTGATTGGCCTGCAAACACATTCAGAGCAAAACCATATTCATTGGTTCGAGATGATGGAACGTAGTGGACTTTTCGTACTGCAAAAAGTGTGTACAAGTAACGTGCGCTTCCGTCTGCAAGTTACGGATCCCGCCGTAGGGGAGGAAACCCGCCGCGGGGCCCGACCTATGAGGCCGCGTGGACTCCTCTCTCCTTCCAGAGGTATATTACATATGTACGATGTGAGTGTTGTCGATCACTTTCCAACACTCGCACCGGTTGCGGGCGGTTTCACGGCCGGGTGTGAGGGGGCCTGAGGGGTGGACAAGGTTACTCTGAGGGGTGGTGTCCTTGATGGCCTTTACTTGCACCTCCCGCCGCCGCCCTTTGGTGCTTGACATATAAATTATTATTATTACCATTGTTATTACTGCCGTGGCGGCGATTGGAGATGCTGACGTCCTCCGGTCGCCTGCCTGGGCTCATCAGCGCGTCTAAGTGCCTGTCGGTCTACCAGACCTCCGAGAGAAAAGCAGCCAATGCTGGAGGGGGGCTTGAGCCATAAGCTTCACGGGCCCCGAAGCCCCCCAAGAGGTCCCTCGCGAATTTAACCCGTCATTAGTAGGCATTCACAACGTACGTGCAGCACCTCAGCACTGATATGGCGCTGATGTGGTGGTGGTGGTGGTGGTGGTGGTGACGATCCTTGTCCTTTGGTGATCGACGTGACTGCATGCTTGGTTTTTTTCTCCGTGTGTATGTGTATGTGTGTTACATATCTCACTGGCCCTCTCTATGGCCGGGGGACGCGTCCCGGCCCCCCCTCGGGTGAGACCACCGAAGCACTCTTATCTTGGTGGAGGGACGTTCTATCGCTCCGTGTCAGGTCCCAACGGACCTCCCTCATCATCATCATCATCATCATCATCATCATCATCATCATCATCATCATCATCGCGTGTGTGTTACAGCTCCTGGAGTTGAGTCACCCCCCCCCCCAAAGGTGTGTTTATGACCCGGGGGCCCGGGAGCCCACACGAGCCCGGAGGGGACCCGAAGGCCGAAGGCTGTATGTCAGCCGAAGTAACATACTTGTATCAAAACACGGAAACAAGGACATGACTATCCTTCCTGCATACTACGCAAGCACTGTGATGACATAATGGTTCAAATAGTACGGTTGCTTGTATTTACACAAATTGCACATAGTTTGTGGCTCCATGCGAGATGTGTTTTAGGAGGACGCCAGAGCGCTTAAAACGAACCAAAGAGAAGAGTACTTTCACTTCACGGCTGATGAAAGTGTCCGGCGGCCGCGGCAGGAGAGGGTAACCCGCGGAGGTGGCACCGGCGGGGAGCAGCTCTTCCACCACCCAGCAATATCACCACGCAACGCTGATCAGCCGCCCTGTTTAAGGCCTCCCTCCCTCACGCGCGAGGTGCCGAGGAGCGTACGCTGTAGGCTGTACACTGTACGGCTTGAGTGGATGCGGCACTGTACGACGCCTAACACACCAAGCCCGTTAAGAATTACAGCAGTACATACATACATTTAGACAGACACACACCTTGCCCGGCGGCAGCAGCAGCAGCAGCAGAGCTACTACACAGACACACATCATCATATAGACGTCTCTAGCAGCCACGTGCACTACCGGGCCCGCCACCATCACGGTGCCCCATTCATTCATCCCTTCGGCCCCGCCTTCACCCTTCATGTGGCGGGGGGTCTGTGCAGAGAAGCGGGCAGTCTTCCACACTGCCGCTACTGTTGCAACTCTTGTTTGCTACTGCTGCTACAGCTGCTGGTTGTTGCTGCGTGCAGTTTCGAAAGCACCAGGCGGCGGCGGGACGCGGCGCTGCTGGCCAAATCCAATTAATGGCACGCCGGTGTTATGACGGCTCCCCTGCTACGCACTGCCAGCAGCCCATCTATTATCCATCCTCTCGCATCCTCGAGCACATCGAACCTATCTCTGGCCCCGCCTCCATCCCCCCTTTCCCTCTCACTTGCGCACTGCGCGGGCGGTTCTCTTCGGACTCGGCCCCCTCGCGCAGATCCCACCTAGGACACCAGCCAGGACTGTCCGATATATGGGGCCCAACCAGTCCTTCTGCCCAACCAGTGCAGCTCTCGGCTACCGACTACCGGCGGCGGGGCTCAGAGCTTCGCCTGGCCCGGCAGCTGCAGCAGCATGTCCCTCAGCACTCGCCGCATGACCTTGTTGGACGCGTTCCGGGGCAGGGAGGGCACCACCACCACCCGGGAGACCTGCGACACACGCACGAAAACACACATATACATACATACATACACACACACACGAGCACGTACAGATATATCGATGTACGCGGGCAGGACACAGGATGTCACATATGTCGCAATCCTGGACACAATCAACAATTGAAAACGTGACAAGTACGGCACACAAAATGAGAAACGTTGCTCCGAGACGCTGAGTCCCTACGTGGCCTCTGAAGAAACAAAACAGGGTTTGGCAATGTAACGTAATGTAGTGGTTAGCGAGTCGCCGTCAGCCATCACCAGGACATAAATGCATACATACATGTGCATGAATTGGAATGCATGCGCGCCTGCAAACACAGGTGTTCAGCTGGCCGGCACACCTTGAACAGCGGGTTCAGTCTTGTCCGTAGGACCTCCTGGCATCGCCGTTGCAGATCCGCTATTTGCTGCTTCCCGTGCTGCAGCTCCTCGTCACCGTTGCGGCTACTGCTACTGCCACTGCCACTGCTACTGCCGGCCCCGGGTGCTGCTGCAGCGGCAGGTGTTTGTTGCCGCAGCACCACCAGCACGAGGGTGAGCTCCTCCGGGCCGCCTTGTGGGGGCGCCACACCCACCGCAGCCGCCTCCACCACACCCGCCACACCAGCCACAACCGCCCGCTCCAGCTCTACGGAGGATACCTGGGGAGAGAAAGATTGGGATCATCACCATCATCATCATGATTGTCAACTATCATCAGCATCGTACACATCATCCGTACAATGTCGTGCATAACTGCCGCGCGCGCTTTCCACCCCACCGCCCACCTTAATCCCCCCAAGGTTCATGGTGTCGTCGCAGCGGCCTAGGGCGCAGAAGGACCACGCGGCGGGCCCCGGGCCAGCTGCGGGCATGGCCGCCATCTCGTCACCATGGCGCCGCAGCGGCATACCCGTACTGCCGTACACGGGCATGCCGGCGTAGTACACCTGTACGGCCGTCAGCATAATGGCGGGGTTGGCGTTGTGGCGGTGTATGGCCTATGGCAGGCGGTAAGTAAAACAGTTAGTAAGCAGCAGCAACAACGAACAGGGAGTAGAGGCTGGGGGTTCGGAACGGAACGCCGACACCCCCGCCCCCGGGGCGATGTGATGTTGGGTTTGCGAGAGCTGCGAAGAACCCCGCATCACATCACCCCGCTGTGCACATCTGTGGGGCCACTCTCAGACTGAGGACCCACTCCGCGCGGCGAGGTACCCCCGCACTGCCCCCTCCCGAGTGCCTCCCCGCTCCCCCGCACCCCCCTACACACGACCACACCGCCACACGGCCACAGAAAGTCATCCACCCTCACATTGCACCAAGGTAACAGCCGTCGTACAGTACGGCGCGATATAACTGCGGCTTACAGCGCTATGCTAGCAGCAACTTCTCCGAGAGGCCTTTTCAGCGGCCAGCTACACTTCACCCAACCGCCCTGCCTGTCATCCACCCCCCCAACCCCCACCCCCCAACCACCCCCCAACCCCCACTCGCCTGGTAGTGGTCCTTGTTCAGAAGCCTCTGGGACACACCCAACATGGGCATCGCCAAGGCAACCTCGCCGGACACTGTAGACTGCTGGTGAGCCGTACGGCAGGGTGCACCGTCCCAGACTGTGCCGTACACCGTACATCGTACACCGTTTAACAAATATGCGTGTGCGCCGTACAGTGATGTCCCGTGACGTGAAATGGTATCCATGGGTGGGGGGAGGGGGGGAAAAGACGAACCACCACGAGCGAGTGAAGCTGCTGCCAAGGAAAGAGTGCTGCGGCAGGAAGCAGAACTGACCGGTGGTAAGTGTGTGTGTGTGTGTTTTGTTGTGCTGTGTTGGGTACGACATGCACGTGGCCCCCAGCAGGACCGAAGGCCAAGGGGGGGAGGAGGTTTGCCGCAGGGTTTGGGAGTGAGTGGGTTTAAAACCAGGAAAACCACGGAGGGGTACCCCAGGGTATCTACACGGGGGGAAGGGGGCGTTGGCACGCCCGAAGGGGATGGAGGAGTCCTCCGCCTCCGCGGATAATTATGATGACAAGATGCACCAGGAAGATCCCCTTGGTAACCCCCTTGCTGCTGCTACTGCTCGCTACAGCTGCTGGCACTGCTGCTATCAATGCCGCCGCGGAGGGGCGGTGATGGAACAACAGTACGTTAGCGGGGGGGACCCCGCACATACACATACACGTACACGATACACATGCGCTCACCCAATGCAGCTGCTGCCCCAGTCCCCGCCCCCTCCCCCTCATCCCCCGCCGCCAGCAGCACCAGTCGAGCCCCCAATGTGGCTGTGGTGAAGGTGGAGGGGGCGCAGGGGTGCATGAGGGTGCTGCTCACGTAGCCGCCGCCGATCTCCGTGCCTGTGGGGGAGCGGGGGGAGCGGGGGAGACCACCATGAGAGGGCGGTTGCGGGGGGAAGGCGCCATGCTGTTGCGCAAGTAACAGCAGTAGTAGCAGAGTAGTAGCAGCGGCAGCAGCAGCAGCAGCGGTAGTGGGTCGCGAGCAATGCCAATCTTAGTGGCTACATGTGTTTGTTCATGAAAGCCGATCGGAGGGCGGGCGAGCGTGCGCGGATTGAGGGGCCACATCTAGCCACATCTGTCTAGAGACAGACAGACAGACAGACAGACAGACAGACAGACAGACACACACACACCAGTAAGATGGATACCCCCCCACATGACGCCTCCCCGCCAACATGGCCTACCTACCCACACAACTACCACACCCCGGGCACCCGGGTACATAACCGCCACGTATCGTACAGCGCTCCGCCATTTACCAGCGGCGACAGAGGTTCTCCCCCCACCTCTCATACCCAGAGAGAGAGACAAACCGCACCCCTCCCCTCCCCCGCCCGGCATCATTAACAATGTCCGCGGCGAGAGGACGTCGCGACTTGTCTGCATGTATGGCCATTCGGGCTCCCAACACAACACTTCCCCCCAGCCCCGACCTCTAGATATCCGTACAACCCGTACAACTGAAAACTCCCACCTCCGCAGTACTCGACGATGGGGCGGTAGCCGCGTGCCCGGGACTGTACGGCGGTTGCCATGTGCAAGTACGACACGATACGACAGTAGCGACCCGAAACGCCCGTGTTTCATAAAAGTATTTGCGGGGGGGGGTTGCGCGGGGGGGGGAAAGGGACATTGGGGGGGGGGGGAGTGGGCGGGGATGTCACCCAGGTGTTCCTAGTTAGGGCTCTGTGTTGGGCCCTCTACACTCCGCTAGACCCGCCAGCTGCTGCAAATACGCTTATCTAAATCCCGCCTCTATCTCCCGCGTCCTCTATTTCCCGCCCCAACGAAGCCACTAACAGTGGTGCAAACACTTGAAATTCTCCCCCCCCCACACACACCACCAGCGCCATTCCCCCCCAGACCCACGCACCATGAGCCATGCGTAATCCTCCGCCGCCGACGCCTCGCCCGTACTGCCGTACACCCGCACGCGGGACAGGTCCACACCGTCCGTCGCCGCGCCCCGCCCCCCACCCGCGCCCCCGTGCCTCCACGCCCGGACTATGGACGGCACCAAACCCAACACGTCCACCCGGGCGGCCTCCACGAATTGCAAGAAGTCGGGGCCCAAGGGGGCACCCTACGCGGCGTGCGTGTTCATGTGTGTTTTTGTGGGCGAGGAGGGGAGAGAGGTGGGGGGTAGGCGCAGGGGTGGGGTGATTGACGAATAGTGGAAAGGCGGGTGTAGAGGTCTAGGGGGAGCGCTGGTGTGGGGAGCTTGGGAGCAGGGGGGAATGGAGCGGGTTGTCGGCAGCCTCCCTGGGGCTTAGGGGCCCAGAAAGAAGTGGTGAAGGAAGTTTGTGTCTGTGGGAGATGAGGAAAAGGTACGGCTGACAAAAGGTGCTGTACGGCAACAAAGCAGGTGTTGTAGACATGTGCGAAAACATTGCTCAGGCCGTCTAGGAGCCCAGGTGCACACCTAGGTGCCATTCGCAAGTGGGCCCTAGGGTTTCCCCCTTTGCGGCTCCCCCTCCCTCTCCCCCTCCCCCTCCCCCTCCCTCTTTCCCCCCTCCTCCCCCCTGCATCCTCCCCTCCATTTCCCCCCCCAGACCCGCACCCCGTACAGCGCCACCGTCGCCCCGTTCAGCCATGCCGCATACAGCAGCCAGGGCCCCATCATCCAGCCCAAGTTCGTCGGCCAACACACCACACTGCCCGGCCGGATATCCAAGTGGGCCCAACCGTCCACAGCACAGCGGAGCGGGGTCAGATGACTCCAGGGAATGGCCTTGGGCTCGCCCTGCGATGCAGGGGGTGTCGGGTTGTGTCGTTTGGGTTTTCGGTGGACGGAGATTCTGACGGTCACCGAGTTACGTTGGGAATGGGATAGCGGCTATGCATGCACGTCTGGCTCAACCTCTCAAACCCATCCCATCCCTGGCGTCATCCCCTCCCCACCACCAAATACACACACACGCGCGCGCGCGCACGCGTGTGCACAACTTGCCGTGGTGCCGGAGGAAAACAGCACGTTGGTGACGTTGTACATATCGGCCACATGGGGGGTAAATTCGGCAAAATCAGTGCAACCGGTGGCGGCCCCGCAACCGCCGCGGCAGCAGCTCCTGGTGTTGCTACTGCTACTGCTACTGCTACTGCTACAACTACAGCCGCCACAGCTCTTCATGAAGTCGGCCCAAGACAAGTCTCCCGGCCGCAGGGGCACGGAGCCGGGGGAGCTCGTTGTGTTCACGTCTGTGAGGCGGCCGGTATGGGGGGAAGGGGGCAGCGGGCAGTGAGGAAGGGGGGGAGCCACCGGGGGAGCCACCGCGAGTATTCGGTGTTCGCTGGATGGAACAAGGTTTCCGGCCCTTCCCCCACACAGCCATCGGCATCTCTGTCGCCGTTGGCATCGCCATCGCTGCAAAAACACGCTGCGGAACAGTCGCCACGTTCCTGGCGCCACACCCGCTGCCGCCGCAATCCACCTAGCCAGGCAACCCGCTATATCATTTCAGGCGTGAGAGCTTTTGAACAGATCGCCGTTATATAGTCCAACACACGAACACCGTTGCAACATCCCTAACGCATAACACCTAGCAACTCGCGAACAGTACCGGTGCGGAATGTGTGTGTATGTGACAACGTGTATATGTCGTACCGTCCTCCTCAGCCGCCGGCAGGACCACCGCCCGAGCGGGAGTGCCCGACTTGATCACCTTGTCGTACAGCGGCAGCACCTTGCCGCCCCTGAGCACCACGTCCTGTGCGGTGTGCGCCATTCGGCGGTGGCGGCGGTGGCGGCGAAGTGTAAGGCCCCCGCGGGAGGACGCGTCTCATCCAAAACCCCCACTACCCCCACCCCCAAACCCCACCTGTGTGAACACCCCCACGGCCCCCGAGACGTCCAACCGCGTCCGCAGCTCCCCCGGGGAGAAGGAGTCCGCCACCGACACCACCACACAGCCCGCCAGTACGGCAGCCATGTAAAGACACACGGCGGAAGGGGTCATGGGCATGTAGACCGCCACGGCATCGCCTGGGTTTGCGAGCGTGTGTGCGCGTCCGGGGGGGGGGGAAAGGGCGGAAAGGGGAGGGGGGAATGTACGTACATACAAAAACATACAAAAAAACATACAAGACTAACTGACTTGTGCTGTGTGTTCCCGACCCTTGCGCTGTGTTTCGGCTTCGGCCCCCAGCTCTCGCGGCCCACAGTGTAATCCAAGTCATACAAAAACATGTATCATCGCGCTAGACTGCACGTAACACTGCACGCAGATGAGGCCCCCTTAAGCCCCCAGGGACCTCCTCCTCCTCGTAAACATGCATGACAGGACAAATCGAAGCCAGGATGTGTCCGTCCGTCTGTCCGTCTGTCCGTCTGTCTGTCTGTCTGTCTGTCTGTGTATGTTGCATATCTTGCTGCGCCTGGCGCTGGCCAATCCCAACGAATAAGATCCCGGAAGCACTGTGTGTGTGTGGGGGGGGGGGGGGGAAGAGGGGGTTGGAACCCTAAGTTCATATCCATCCATCCATCCATCCATCCATCCATCCGTCAAGTCCAGCTCACCGATTTTGAAATGCTGTCTGATGGCGACCGCCAGCCTCCTTACCCGCGCTCGCAGCTCCTGGCGACCCACGGGTCGCAGCGCCCGCGGGGAGCCATCAGCAGCCCACAGCAGTGCGGGTGTGTCCCTATCCGCGGGGGCCCTGGCGCTGTCCAGTGCAGCCGCCGCGATGTTGATCCGGGCTCCGGGCAGCCAGCGGCATTGGTCCGGGTCCGTGGGGTGGCGCTGCAAGACCCTGGGAAGGGGTCACCACAATAAATACATACATACAAACGTATGGATGCTGGTGGTGCGTGCTGAACCCAGCGAATACATTCTGAAGTCGGATGGGGTGAACGGATTAGGGTGTCCCTCTCGCAGGGGAGAGCAGGGAACTGCCTCCAAGGGAAAGGAAGCCGATGGCAAAGCTTTACCACCCTGTAACAACATACATACATACGTACATACACACTTTCTGCACATCCAGGGGTTGACGAGGAGGGTCACGTGGCTGGCTACCACCACCACCACAAGCTCATGCGCGTGTGTGCACGTATGTATGAAAGTACTGCAGCAAACGGGAAGGCACATCCTACACGTATACAATAAATATTAGCAAAGACTCGGCAACTTGTGCCGAATCTCAAAACCCCAAACGCAGGTGTAAGGCTGCTGGAGGGGAAAGCGGTATTCCCTCCGAGACCACCTCGGGGGCCGGGGGGGGGGGAGAAGACCGTTCATCGTCCTGTGTATCGGAAGAGAACGCGGGACAGCGTGGGACTTAAAGTAACGCCCTCCCATACACACCGCCACGACCTCCCCCTATCCACTGCCCTCCCTCCTTCCCCCC